AGGTGTCCTTCCAAACCTGTGTGCCACATCACAGTTCACCCAGGGGAGGGAAATATTTTTTTTCATAATTCAAACAACAGAAAATCAAGTGCAACAAACCAGTACTGGCCTGTAAAGAGCAGGCACTCGCTGAGCGGCACGAGGATTTTTTCTTTAATAGCATGCCTGGTCTGAGTTGGCTTCACCAAGGATGGGATCCCTGGAGAGTCACATGGTCCTTTTCTTGTGAGGATCACATTGCAGGGATGGGGGGCTGGGACTCTGGATAGTGAGAGAGCAAGACCCTGTCTCAGAAAAAGACGACGAGGAAGAGGAAAAAGTCCGACATGGAGCACAGTTCTTCGTGGACATGGGGCGTGTTCCTGGGAGTGAAATCTAGCTGTGGCCCTGGAAGATAAATAGCCCCTTGGTGTGCTTATCGTTACCAAACCTGGGGCCTCACCCTGGCCAGGAAACACTCTCCTGCTGGGCCCGGCCACCAGTGCGTTTCTACATTAGCCCTTCTCTCCCCTCCCAGGAGCCACTACACACTTTCCAGTTGCAAGTGATGAGTTTACTCTATGAACACACACACCTGGGGCTTCTCCAGTAGGGGGTGCATTCTTCCAGGGGGGTGTGATTTCAGTGGGAGGGGTTCTGAGACAGGGTCCCGCTGTGTAGCCCAGGCTGCCTTGAACTCTTGGTGATCCTCCTGCCTCAGCCTCCCGAGTGCTGGGATCACAGGTGTGTGACACTGCGCCTGCTCAGTGTCTGACACAGGAGGACATCGCCACCCCCTAGAATCTCTGTGTCTTCCCTGCTCGCCACATCGGAGTTTCGGTGGCACAGGAATGGATTCTCGGTCTCAGCCGTGTGTTGGTGGCCCTGGTGTGGATAGCCCTCCCAGCAGAAAAGCAGAAAACCAACGCTTTGCATGTGGGGTCGGCCCGGCTGCTCCGACCTTCCCTGCATGCTCCTACTGTGGTGGTGCTGGGTGCTCCTTGATGTCCCTGGCCTTGACGCCAGCGGAATTCTCTCCCCCTCAGCTTCTCCCTTGAGCTGAGACCATCGCAGTTGTGCCTGCATCTGGAGCAGCCCTACATGTGCAGGGGTGGCAGGGACAGCCCAGCCCGTTCTGCTGGTCGGAAGCAGCCTTTGGAGGAAGCAGCCAGTGCCTCATGGGACACCATGCCTCGCTTTCCTCTCGCTCCTGCCTTTGGGGTTCAGCTGAGTGCACGACCAGCCAGAGCCCGGCACTCTGGATGGACAGCTCCTGCCAGGCTGAGAGCCCCTGTGTCGCTTTCCCTGTGTACCCTGCCCTCCGCGGGCTCTGAAGCCGCTTTCCAGCTTCCGCCGCTGCAGTAGCGCAGGATCAGAAGTTGGGTACCGGGACTCAAACTCAGCCCCTCACTCTTGCCAGGCAGGCTCTGTGCCGCTGAGCCACATCCCCAGCCCACAAGCTTCTCCTGGCATTTACACTGCATGGTCGCATTTGCTCAGGCTTCCGTGTTGGGAGGCGCGGCTTCTTCTTTGGGGACCCTGCTTCTTCTATCCCCATCAGAGTCCCCAGCCTCCATGTTGCCTGGCCCTATTTCCTGCGCTGTAACCTCACCGAGGAGTGGTCTGTGCATCGTTTCCCTCGCTGAAGCAGCAGGCTGCGGTGTGGCTGCACATGACAGCTGCTGTTCCTTGGGCCTGAGTGTGCCCGAGGGACAGACCTGTGGCCTGCAGCTTCTGCCTGTGAGTGGCGCAGTCTCTGTGAGTGGCCTGGGGCTTTCTTTCCCTGAGGTCTGCTCATGGTCTGGGTCTTGAAACACTGGTCCTTTCTGCTGGTTTGTGTGGTTTTGATTTTTTTGCTTTTTAAAAACAGGGTCTCGCTATGCACCTCAGGCTGGCCTTGAGCTCACTTTGTAGCCTAGGCTGGTCTTGAACTCAAAATGAGCCTCCTGTCCCAGCCCCCCGAGTGCTGGGCTGACAGGCATGTGCCACCACACCCACCTGGCCGCCTCCACACTGCCCCTGCAGGGTCACTGTTCCTCAACCTCCGGGAGGAGTTTAGGAGGAACGAAAGTGGGCTGTGGGCCTGCGGGGCCACCTGGCAGCCAGTGGGTTTCAGCAGGAGCCTCTGCGGGCCTCCTGCACACCGCCAGCCTGAGGGCCCTGCGCGGACGCCAGGAACTGGAGCGGCCAGCCGGCTCTGCCTCGGTTACCCCAGGGCTGCAGGATTCAGCAGATGCAGTGAGCATGTTTGGCTCGAGCCCAGCCCAGTGGTCCGTGCCTCAGAGCAGCTTCCTCGCTGCTTCTGTGAGTCCCTGGCTGCAGCATGTGGGGTCTCCACCTACGCTGGGAGGCAGCGGTGGTCCTCAACACATCGTGATTCTCTTTGCTCCATTCCCATCTGCTCCCCTCTGGACCTCTCTTCCCATTTGCAAAAGATCCATCTCCCTGTTGCCTCTCACCTGGCTTTAATTACTTTAGGGTTTCTAGCTTTAAAGATCAAGCACACATAGGTGATTCGTTTCCCTCAACATTCTAGTTTGGTGGAGTGGCAAGTTCCCACAAGTGGCTGGAGTCCGCCCTTCTTTGGGGCAGCGTAGTACTCCACAGCATGGGTGAGCCATGTTTTCTTTCTCTGCTCATCTGCTGGTGGACACACCGGCCACATCCAGGATTTGGCTCCTGGGAGCTGTGCTGCTGTGAACACGTTGCGCATGGATCCCTGTGACAGGATGACGCTGACTCCTTTGGGAAAATGCCTAGAAGGGAAACAGCTGGGCTGAACGGACTTCCTAGGCTTAGTTTTTCTGTTGGGCTCTAGTTCTCAGCCCTCTTTCATGTTCTGGTGCTATCCCGGGTTTTCCTGTGTGTGCCCTTCCTGAGCGCCTACTGCATACTGACCCCTCGGCAGGTCCTGGGACAGAGGCAGGTGGAGGCTGACCCTTGCCATCACAGAAGCCCTGGCAGTGGGCGGCAGGCAGCGTGGGCCAAGTGGGTGAGCGGACAAGGCTGCAGAGGGGTGAAGCAGCCAGCAGGTACCTGCGCACCGCGCTCTGGTGACAGGCAGCCGCCCAGCCCTGCCATCCCTCAGCCCCGGACGCTGAGCAGCACCGCTGGCTGCCAGCTCCACAGGTGTGACTCAGCAGCAGGCGACCTGTAGGGTCTGATTCTGTGTGTGATTTCGTCAGAGCCTAAGGATTAGCAAAGAGCAAAGGACACCAGTAACTCGGCTGCTCAGGAGGCTGAGGCAGGAGGATCCCAAGTTTGCACTGAGCATGGGCTATTTAGCAAGACCTCATTCTCACAATAGAAAATAAGAACCAGGGCTGCTGGGGTGAGGACAGGCTCAGGGGTGACTGTGACCACCCCTGGGCATCAGGTGACACCCTGGGACAGGTCATGGCCAGGGGGCTCTCACAGCCTGCATCTAGCACCTACACTTCTGTCCAACCCCCCAGCAGTGCCCCTCTGTGATCCCCAAACCCCCCAGAGGGTTAACTCCACGCACAGCACAGCAGGTGCTGTTGGTCCTGCTGCCCAAACCAGTCTTAGGGGCAGCCTTGCCCTGGGAGCTATGGCTGGAATAGAAAATAAGAGCTCAGTCTGAGCCATTCAATTGAGTTGGAAGACAGGCGGCTGAGAGCAGGGCCAGGTGCTGCCTGGCACTACAGGTGGCCTCGGGCACAGGACTGTCCCTTTCTGCACCTGTATCCTCAGTTGGCAGTGTGCTTGCCCCACAAGGTGACCACCAAGGAAACAGGAGCAGGAACAGCTCCCAGCACAGGGAGGGTGTGGAAATACTCTGGTCACTGCCCAACAGCGTCTGCTGACCACAAAGGCACATGCCTGTGGTCCTGGCACTCAGGAGGCTGAGGCAGGAGGATCACCAGGCATTTGAGACCAGCCTGGGCGACACAGTGAACTCAAGCTCATCCTGGGCTGCATAGCGAGACCCTGTCTCAAAAATAAATAAAATGATGTGTATTTAGGGCTTTTGTTAACTATATTCTAGCTGCTATTATGAAGAAAACTATGTGAGGTAGTCGATAATTAATCCTCCCCCTTTGGAGCCACTGTACTCTCTCCATCGGATAATCTTTTGAGAACTTCAGAGGCGTGCAGTTTTCAGAAGAGGAACGAAGGGTGTCAGGTGCTGCCTTTCAGTGCCACTTTGCTGCTTGCACGGTGACGCACCCGCGTTCTTATAAGCACAGCAGTGGGCGTGATCCCCACGGCATTCTCCGTGCCCGCAGCTTCCGCGGATGCCAGGGTCCCCTGAGGACCTTGGTACGGAGTGCAAGCTGCTCCCATCAGGGCCTGGCCCAGCCCAGGCATCACAGTCCGGGGTTCCGTGTGTCTGAGTGCGTGGATCATGTGGATGCCCCATTTCCGGCCTGGACACCCGTCCTCCCTCCGATGGGTCTCCCTTCTCCTGCCCTGCCAGCCTTCTTAGATTCTGCGTGTCAGGGAGGACAGCACTGAAACCCATTTCCTTGGTTCCTCCCTCCCTGACGCCAGCGTGGCTGGCACTGTTTCTGTTCACAGCGTGACCCGGGCTCGTGATGGCCACAGGCAGCGCTCACAGGCACTCGTGTGGCTGGGCCCACAGGGCTGCCTCCTGTCCTCTGTGTCCTGAGTCAGCCTGGGCCATCAGGGGCGCTGCTCTTGGCGTGGAAGCCGAGGCCTTGTCCTGCCACAATGGGCTGCAGGCTGCGGCGAGGTCAGCGCCTCTCGAGGCTTCGGCCATGGCCCGGTTTGCGCGAAAACTCTGCACGAAAACACTACCATTTATAGTCGTGCTGGTCTCGGCCTCCAGCCCCCTGGAGCCGGGAGAGAGTGCGGTTCAGGAAGTGGAAGTATGTGGGCAAAAAAACACTCTCTGTTCCAGCAGGAGCCAGAAAAGGCTTTGTTAATCTTTAACCAGAAAAATAAATACTCAGCATGACAGCAGGCACTTGTGATAGGGCGCGCGCCCCCCTCGACGTGCTAGCGTGTTTATGGACGTTTGTTTGATTGCATTTCAGATTCGTTCTCCCACTGAAACCCGGAAGACAGGACCACACTGAAGCTGACCAGTAAGTTCTCCTTCATTATTAAAGCAAAGCCAGGTGGCGGCATTGATGCCATCCTGATGCGGCGTTATTGTTGGAGTGAGACGCAGCCCTGCTGGGGCGACGAGGGCGATGCTATGTGTCTGTCTAGCTGTCTTTTTTTCTTTTCTCTTTTTTGGTCTCCAAAATGATTTACAATGTTTCCATTCCTTACAAACACAGAGCCCAGCCATGTTCTTCTGCTAAGAAAAAGATGCATGATAGCATGCCAAATGCTATTAAAATACAAACTTTTTTTGGTAAAGAAACTATTTCAAGGCCCGTGTTGATGGTCTGCTTGTCTCACACAGTATCCAAAACAACCAAGTGGAGCTTTCTTCAGCCAAGGAATTCAGACAACCCCCTGCCACCTCGGCAGGAAAGTCAGCTCCAAGCTGCACCTTTAGGCCTGCTGTCTTTCTTTTTGGTTTCTCTCTCTCTCTCTCGCTCGCTCGCTCGCTCTCACTCACATTTCACCTAAATGTGATTGCTGAGGGGTTCTGCACTAGGAAATTCACTTTAGAGCTAGGAGAGCAGAGTTCTCCTTAAGCCACGTGCTCCTAGGGCTGCGGTGTCGCATTTGCTCCCTGGAAGATCACAGCTGTCCTGTTATTTGCGGTGTGTATCGGTTACCTTCTGCTGTGTAACACCCATGCCAGGAGTACCCGCTCAGAGCAACAGTCAGTTATTTCTCTCACAGCCTCTTGGCTTGCTGATTTGTGTGTTTTAAGACAGTTGTCTGGATCGGGTCCGTAGGGCTGTGCTTCGGAGGGCCACCTGGCAGCGGCCAATGTGAGAGCAGTGGCTACCTGTGTGCGTGCGGTCCCTCACTGTCTCTTTGTCCATTCTTAAGATGCTGAGATGTGTTGACAGAAACAGGGCTCAAGGCCAAAGCCAGCCAGGGCCCAGTGTTCGTCAAGCTAAAGCAGGCCTGTGGCTCACCTAGGCTCAAAGTGTGTACATACAGATCCTCTTCTTTATTTTTATTTCTTTTCTATTTATATATGATCCCAGGAGTAAAACCCAAAGCCTCTGCACGGAGCTGCGTCCCAGCCCCCTTTTTTCATTTTTTAAATTTTGAGACCAGACTGTGCCACTTTGCTTTGACTTGAAGTCTTCCTGCCTCAGCCTCCCAGGGATGGTGATGAGGGGATCTACAGAATCCCACTGCAGGGGCAGGAGGGCCGGGGTCCCTGAGCAGTAGTGTGGAACAGCGAGGCCATCCTGCTGGCCAGAACCCCATGACCATGGCCTCACTCTGCCATCTGAGGTCCCCATCAGCTCAACAGTTGCCTTGGTAGCCACACTAGCACTGGGTCTTCACCCCATGCCTGTCCCCAACCCCTGTGGCACTGTACCCTGCAGTCCTCCCACCTTGGTGCCATCTGTGTGTGGCCCATGTCTTGTCCCCAGTTTAGATTCTGTGTCTCCATCTCCCATCTCCTGCACTGTCCCTGCAGGGGCTCACCCAACTCAGTGCAGCTGGTGGGAAACACTGCCTGGCAGCCCGTGGGGACAACGCAGGGCACACAGCCTAGGGTCTCCTCAGCTTCTCAGGAGTGTGGCGCTGGCTGGCTTAACACCCTTGCTGTGCAAAGCCACCTTGTCCCTGATCTGGGGATGGTTACGCAGTGAGGGGTTCTGTTTTGAGCCGCTCCAGTGGCCACGTTGCGTGTGTCCCTGTCCCTGCCCAGTCTCCTCACCTGCCCTGAGCTGGGCCCTAGATGGACAGGAGCCGCTCAAGGACTCCATTGCCCTGCTGTCGCCCACAGCCACCTCTGCGCTCCCTGGGGCAGCTGGGTGCCAACTTGCACTTCGTTCCCTTAGGCAAGTGTCAGCTGTCATCCCCGGGGACTCTCGGAGGCACTGAGCCAGGTGGACACTGCCTTCCCCAGCTCACCCCGCCCAGGCCACGCACCTGGGGCTCAGATGGGAAGTGTTGGGCTGCCACCTCCTGCCGAGCCGACAGCCCTCCTGCCTCTCCTCTGAGTGGTCAGGACTCTGTACGTGGCCCCCTCCAGGCTGAGGCTCAGACACTGGATTGCCGCCCGCAGGAGGGCCTGCCCATGTCTGGAGTTTTCACCCCTCACAAAAGCGTGCGCCCGGGGCTGCCTTGACCAGGGCGCCCTGCAGAATCCATGACCTCTGCTAAGCCAAGTTTTGCTGGACATGGTGGCGTGTGTGGCCCAGCCACTCGGGAGACTGAGTTCCAATCCATCCTGACCACATAGCAAGACTCTGTCTCAGCAAAGCACCCTTCGTGTCTGGGCTGTGTGCTTTGGCCAGGGCACCAATGGGCAGCAACACCTCCGGGTTGCCTTTGACCCGACCTGTGGCCACAAAGCACTAGGGCGCAGGGTCTGCCCTGGGCACCTTACTGCTCCCTCGAGGGTCCCCGAGTGCAGGCTCCACCCTCCAGGGACGCGGGCGGGGTCGCTGAGCCTGTGGGCTTTCACGGGCTCCTGGGATGCTGGAGGGACGAGAAGAGCCCGGGCCACCAGGCGGAGCCCTGGGAGACGCCCCTTCGAAAACTTTTGATTCTGTGGGCTTTGGCGACACCAGGCTCTGACCTGCCCCTGGGGAAAAGGCCCGGCCCACTGCATATTCGGAGCGACCCCTGGCCCTGCTACCCAGGTCCCTTTCTTCGGTGTACAGCGAGCACACTGGGATCGGAGGGGTCGCCCGTGCATGGTGGCTCTGTGAAATGAGGGCCGGCTGCGCCCCCTGGAGGACAACCGGAGAATGTCTCGGTCTTTTTTTCCCTTGAAAGGGAAACTGTAAACTTGAATACTGTTCTCATATTTGTTTTGCTGTGCTGTGCTATGCTCTGCTATTTCGTTTTGTTTTTAGAGACAGGATCTCACTATGTATTTCAGGCTGACTTTAAACTCATTATATAAGCCATGATGGCCTCAAATTCCTAGTGATCCTCCTGCTTCAGCCTCCCAAGGGCTGGGATGACAGGTCACTTCTCTACTGCTTCCTACACTTCGGTGTAGTTTTGAAAGCGAACTTCGAAACAAGTCAGAAGACTGATGGCTGAGGTAAAGCCTGCTTATGTTTGATTGCATTGGTCTCATCTTCAGTTCTTCTCCTGACCCGGTCCAATTATTTAGCCTGCAAGGCTCCCTCCATTAGCAGTGCCTTTGTCATAAGGATGTCATCAGCTGTGTCCCCTGCCTCAGGGACTGTGTCTTCATCGGTGGCTCAAGGTGGTTTACCTGCAAAGTGCAGCGTCAGGCAACCTTGGTATCAGCGGTGGCTTTCGTGCACTTTCTTCTGTGCACTCAGCAACGCGGAGTCCTTTCACGCCTAGGGACACCATGTGGTCACTCTCCCCTATACCTGGTTGCTTTTGGACCTGAGTGTGGAAGCCGGAGGCTTCGGCTCCAGGGTGAGGCGCGTTTCTCACGGACCCATCCTGGGCCACCATGCTGGCTGCTGCACTCGTTCGGACAGAGCCCAGAGGTGTGGGGCTCTGAGAACTGGAGTCCCCAGCCAGCTCCCAGGCCGGGCAGTTTTCTTTGTGAACGGTCACCCTGGTGGCCACAGCCAGCACCTCTGTCATTAGGAGACACACACATGTGTGCATGCACACACACACACACACACACACGGGCGTGCTCGTGGCACTGGCCTCACCCCTCCCTGCCCTGGGCATCACTGCCCTACTGAGAGTGCCCCCCATAGAGCAGGGGACCCCGATTTCTGGCATTGGGGGCCAGCGCCAGGCGTTGGAAGGCTGAGCGAGCCACCTCAGAATGTTCCTGAGCTCTCTCACTGCTGGACCTTTCTGGGCTTTCCCCTGGTTCACAAACTGCAGCACACTGAGCTGTGAGTTCTGCTAACCCGGATGGCTGGGGAGCGGGCAGGGCAGGGCGTGGATGCAGCCGCCTGGGTTAGGAGAGAGGCCAGCAGCTGCTGCAGTGTCCTGGGGGGAGGCCACATCAGTGCCATGTCCCTCAGTGGCTTGAAGACCCCTTTCAGAAGAGAATAAGAAGCTAGAAGATAAATTGTGTTTCAGAGTTATAACAAAATTATAAAGCACCCAAGATTCTCATGACCTTGGGTCTAATCTGGAAGGGCTGCAACAGCCATACCGAGGCAACCTGGCAAACAGCAGGTCCTTCATCTCTCTCCTTCCCTCCTTACTCCCTTCCTTCCTTCTTACCTCCCTCCCTCCCTTTCTTCTTCTTCTTCTTCTTCTTCTTTTTTTTTTTTTTTTAATTTTAGAGAAGGGTCTACAGAGCTTTCAGGGTCTCACTACTAGGTTGGACTCATAGTGATCCTCCTGTTTACAGCCTCCCAAGATCTGGGATTACAGGTGCACGCCATCACGCCCAGTCTCAATTGCCATCTCAACTGCCCCTGGGGTGGGACCAGCATGGCAGGCCCAGGGATAGAACCCCGTATCCCTGGGCTTGCTTGCAGGATCTTTAATCCACCAAGCTACTTGGCTGGCCCTTCCTTCCTTTTTGAAACAGGACTGCACTCTGTGGTTCAGGCTGGCCTCTAAAGTTGGGATGACTCTCCCGCCTCAGCCTTCTGAGTGCTAGGATTACAGGTGTCCACCACCATGCACAGCTTGGACCTTACTCTTTAAAAAAATACGGTTGTGAAAGACTTCAAAAATGTTCAGAGGAGACAGGCCGGCAGAGCGAGGTGTGTCCTTTGGGTCTTTTCTTGCTGCCGAGGGTGTCCTGAGGGATTACCAGAGCCCAGCGAGGTCTGCAGGAGAGGGCACTATGCGGCATTTGCTGCCGGTCAGCTTGCTGTGCAGTTGCACAGGAGAACGCATTCTTCAGTGCTGCGCACAGACATCCTCAGGATTAGGTGGCCTCCCCGAGCTCCAAGCCCAGCTGGCTCTGGCCAGCCAAGGGCAGCCTTGCCATTCGGGACCCAGATCTGAGAGGGCAAATCCGAGCCAGCTGCCTGCGAGCCTCCCTGTTATTCCAAGTCTGAAACTGTCAAAGCGAGTTTCAAAG